AAGAAAGAAAAAAAAAAAAACCTTTCTTGGCCAGTCCCCTGACTGCTTGCTTTTCCCAACCCCTCTTCCCAACCCCACCTCCCCTGAATCCCCACTTTCCCCTAACCATGTTGCCCCAGCTTTACCCCCTTTTCCATGTAAGTCTCTGATAGCTATGACATACCCCTGTCACATAGCACTGAGGGCCAGGGGGCCAAACTGCCATCTCACTGTTCCTTGTCCACAGATGCCGAGGATGAGAAGCCCCCACTGCCCCCACGCTCTGGCTCCACCAGCAGTTCTGCTCCTGTGGGGCCCAGCAGCCCCCTGCCATCCCCTGAGACTCCCACAACTCCAGCTGCTGAGAGGTGAGATCCCTTTCCCAGCCCTCTTTGCTGAGCAGGAAGTCCCTTTCTCATCTCAGGGACCCCCAAATCCCATCTCAGCCCCAGAGGCAGTTACCCTGACCCATTCCACTCTGATTGCCACCAGTACCTGATGTACTGGATAGAATAGGGGTGCTGTGACGGCGAGCAGGACCTCCCCTGACTCTTCATCTCTCCTCCAAGTGCTCCCAATGGGCTCAGCACCGTATCACATGAGTATCTGAAGGGCAGCTATGGGCTGGACCTGGAGGCTGTAAGAGGTGGAGCTAGCAACCTGCCCCACCTCACCCGCACCCTTGTCACCTCATGCCGACGGCTGCACAGGTACCTGGGATGGCTGACCCCACATCTACACTGTGGTCAGACCTGGATCACCCAGCCACCACTGCCTCCTGACTTCCTCCCCGTTGCCCAGTACCCTATGCTAAAGGTGGAAGTGCCACACTCTGGGCCATGTTCCCCAGTCGGAGGTCAGGGTGGGGATTCTGACCTACTGTCTCCCTTAGCGAGGTGGACAAGGTCCTGTCAGGCCTGGAGATCCTGTCCAAGGTGTTTGACCAGCAGAGCTCGCCCATGGTGACCCGCCTTTTGCAGCAGCAGGTGGGATTGTAGGGAGCTGCCCCCATTGCCCTGGGAGGTGGGACATATTTTGGAGCTCAGTGAGGGACTTCTACTTAGGACCTTTATTTCTCCCTGCAGAGCCTACCACAGACTGGGGAGCAAGAGCTGGAGAGCCTTGTGCTGAAGCTGTCTGTGCTGAAGGACTTCCTGTCAGGCATTCAAAAGAAGGTAGACTGATCTGCAGCCACTCACCCCAACATCAGCTGTGCCCCCCAATCTCATCCCTCAGTGTGTCCCCTTACCTCACCTTGCCTACCCCCCACCCCTTCTGCAGGCCCTGAAGGCACTGCAGGACATGAGCTCCACGGCACCCCCAGCTCCAATGCAGCCCTCCACACGAAAGGCCAAGACCATCCCTGTGCAGGCCTTTGAGGTACATGGCAGGTGGGGCTTTATGGGACAAAGGGGATGCTGCCTGTCTAAGGCCTTGTCAGCAGCCTTTCCACCTCCCATCCTGCAGGTGAAGCTGGATGTGACCTTGGGTGACCTGACCAAGATCGGGAAGTCCCAGAAGTTCACGCTGAGCGTAGATGTGGAAGGTGGGAGGCTGGTGCTGCTGAGAAGACAGCGAGACTCGCAGGAGGACTGGACGACCTTCACACATGACCGCAGTGAGTCAGGGCCAGAGTTGAGAGAGGTGAGCAGGGTAAGGGCCTCAGCCTGATAGCACAGGTTTGTATGTTCTCTATTTCCTAGTTCGCCAGCTCATTAAGTCCCAGCGTGTGCAGAACAAGCTGGGTGTTGTGTTTGAAAAGGAGAAGGATCGGACCCAGCGCAAGGACTTCATCTTTGTTAGTGCCCGGGTAAGTGACGGGCTGGGCTAGGGAACTGGGGACTGTTGGCATCCCCAGCTGGGTGAACATGTGCTATGGGGGCCTATCATTCTTGATGGGGTGGGCAAGCCTGAGGGTGGATTCAGATAGTCATTCAATGAACAATCATCAAACACCTGCAATTGCTTTTATAGTGAGTGTATAGTGGGGAACTTCAGGCATGACCCTCCCCTCATGGTGCCTGCCATGTAGCAGGGTGTCCCCATGGAAGGGTGGGATTGCTGGATACCTGCCTGTCCCTGACTGGCTGATGTCCCCTCCAGAAGCGGGAGGCCTTTTGCCAGTTACTACAGCTCATGAAGAACAAGCACTCCAAGCAGGATGAACCTGATATGATCTCTGTCTTCATAGGCACCTGGAACATGGGTCAGGCACAATCTGGGGCTATGGTTGGGGGAGGAGGATGGCCCAAGGATGGGGGGCCTGACCCCTTTCTAATTCCTGCTGCCTCCTCTCTACCTCCAGGAAGTGTGCCACCTCCAAAAAATGTGACATCTTGGTTCACATCAAAGGGGCTGGGGAAGGCCCTAGATGAGGTCACAGTGACTATACCCCATGATATCTATGTCTTTGGTACCCAAGAGAACTCAGTGGGCGATCGAGAGTGGCTGGACCTGCTGCGTGGGGGACTTAAGGAGCTTACAGATCTGGATTACCGCCCGGTGAGGGGGTCATCATGCTTCGGTTCTTGTCTATATGGACCACCTCAGATTTTCTGCTTGGCTTCATGGGGAGTACTACATATGGGCTTTCCTTCTGAACCTTGGCATTTCCTTTGGGAGAGTGAACTTAACTTCATGAGCTTTTATGCCACAGGAGAGCCTGTTCCTCTTTGTCTTTCTAGAAAAGCAAGCCTTCCTGGCCCATGACTAACAAGACAGTGTAGATGATAGGCCACAGTGAATGCAGGCAGGGGCCTTGGCCTAGGGCAAAGATGACCCCACACCCTCTCTATAGATTGCCATGCAATCACTGTGGAACATCAAGGTAGCCGTGCTGGTCAAGCCGGAGCATGAGAACCGCATCAGCCATGTCAGTACGTCTAGTGTGAAGACCGGCATCGCCAACACCCTGGGTGAGCAGGGCAGGTGGGCTCTGGAGGTAATGGGCTTTTTCTGTCCATGGTTTCTGCTTCCTCTCCTGCCCAGGGTCTTCCTGTTTTCAATGGTTTCAGTCTTTGAACTTTGTATATTCTCATTCTAAATCTCTTCCAGACTTACCAGGAAGGCCAGGCCAAGATGATTATCCTCATTTCATAGATGATAAATTTAGACCCAGAGTGATTAAGTGACTTGTCTAGGGTCACGCAGCAAGTCGTTAAAGGAAGAAAGTGTAGTGCCCCGTTGTTCTGATTTACAGTTCAAGGCTCTTGCAAGATAGATTCTGCTCAGAATCGACAAGGCATTTCAACTGCACCCTTGGGATTCTCTGTGATCTCCAGGGGCTCCATTCAGACAGACAGATGTAGACCATTCAGACAGAAAACATGTGTCCCTGGAGGATCCCTAGGGAACATGTGCATGTATGTTCAGGGGCCTGCTTGGTGTGTAGCATCTCGAGATTGGGGTAGGAAGGATCCTGACTCTTTGAGGGATAGGGGAGAGTTAGGAGACCTCTTCGGGTAGCCCTAGCTTCCCGTATCCTCCGTGTCCTGCCAGGGAACAAGGGTGCCGTGGGTGTTTCCTTCATGTTCAATGGCACATCATTTGGCTTTGTGAACTGCCATCTCACCTCGGGAAATGAGAAGACTGCCCGGTGAGAGTCACCTGTTCCATGACTCCTTATCTGTCCCCCATTCTCCTGAGATCTGTTCCTTCTACCATAGCCCAGACCCTGGCCTCCTACATTTCTGTCCCCAGGAACCTCCTCCTCAGGACCCCCAACTGTGTACACCTTGTGCCTAGCTGCTCCCTCCATCTGTGGGGAGCTTCATCCCTACCCCTGGAGACTTCTTGCCTTTATGCTATTCCCTCCCATTCCAACCTACCCCGGCCCCACTACCTTAGGCGGAACCAGAACTATCTGGACATCTTGCGTCTGCTCTCATTGGGTGACCGGCAGCTCAGTGCCTTTGACATCTCTCTGCGGTTCACTCACCTTTTCTGGTTCGGGGACCTTAACTACCGCCTGGACATGGATATCCAGGTACCAGCAGAGTCCTGTGGGTGGCTGTAGTAAAGGGTGTCAAGTGAGGAGGGCTGCACTGCTCTGCTGCAGAGGCAAGCCTCTGACCTCTGTATCTGTACCCCAGGAGATCCTGAACTACATCAGTAGGAGAGAGTTTGAACCCCTGCTCAGGGTAGACCAGCTCAACCTGGAGCGGGAGAAGCACAAAGTCTTCCTTCGATTCAGTAAGTGAGGGCCTGGCAAGTATTCCTGGGAGGCTTGGAGTACTCCTAGGTCTTTGGGGCCCTGGACTTAATGTGTTCTTTGCTCTCTTCAGGTGAGGAGGAGATATCCTTCCCACCCACCTACCGCTATGAGCGGGGCTCCCGGGACACATATGCCTGGCATAAGCAGAAGCCAACTGGGGTGAGAGAAATAGAGTAGACTTTGGAGGGACCTCTCCCCTGGCTTACTGGGAATGAGGAGTTTGGGGGAGTCAAGGATCTGGGTCTCTGTGGCTACCACTATAGCTTATATGGCTTCCCCGAGGTCCTTAGGGGTGATACTAGGTATCTGGGAATCCAAAGAAAGAGATGAGGGCTGGATCCAGTGTAACAGAAGAATACTGGGGGTTTTATCACCTCTGGGTGAGGCCTAGCTGTCAAGTCAACCACGATACCACCCCTGCTGCAGGTCCGGACCAATGTACCTTCATGGTGTGACCGGATCCTATGGAAATCCTATCCTGAAACCCACATCATCTGCAATTCCTATGGTCAGAGCCTCAGGACAGGATGACAGGAGACACTGGGTGGTTACCATCCTGCCTCAGTCCTCCTTTGGGAGTGGGGAGTGGGCAGAGAGTAGGGAGAGTTCTCCTGAGCTCCTATTCCTTTGCCCTTGCTCAGGTTGCACTGATGACATCGTCACCAGCGATCATTCCCCTGTGTTTGGGACGTTTGAGGTTGGAGTAACCTCACAGTTCATCTCCAAGAAAGGTGCCTGTTCTGGGTGTGGTTGTGGAAAGATGTGGGTGGGCAAAGATGGTGGCTTAGGAATGTGATGGGTTTGCTTCGTGTGTTTTTCTGCCCTGGTCAGGGTGGGTTTGCAGGTCTCCCTGTTAGCTTAGTATTGGGAAGCTTCTCTTGGCCTTATCTGCTCTGCCAGGGCCCCTCATTTTCTGTCTTAGACTCAGCCTCTTAGGATCCTCTTAGGCTGTCCTGACCTTTCTGCTGGCAATTCTTCTTTTGTTTCCTCAGGGCTCTCCAAGACTTCAGACCAGGCCTACATTGAATTTGAGAGCATTGAGGCCATTGTGAAGACAGCCAGCCGCACCAAGTTCTTCATTGAGTTCTATTCCACATGCTTGGAGGGTCAGAGGGGGCCCAGGGCTGGCTGTGGGCCACGGGGGAGTAGGAAACTACAGGCTGCCCAGAGGTAGTCGGCCCCCAGCCTAGGGATAAGGAAAGCTCAGGGAGATGGTTCTCATCTGGATGTCCCTCCAACCTCACCTAGAGTACAAGAAGAGCTTCGAGAATGATGCTCAGAGCAGTGACAACATCAACTTCCTCAAAGTGCAGTGGTCTTCTCGCCAGCTGCCCACGGTGAGACTGTAGGGAGGGCCCAGGCTTGTGGGTGAGGGGATACAGAGAACAGAGGCAGGGCACACATTGGGAGGTTGCGGGGGAGCTGGAAGGGCATGTGTCTCCTGCATATGAATAAGGATAAAGACATTTGCTTCTTTCAGAGCTGTGGAACCACCTTGTAGTTTGTTTATTCATTTGTTCAATAAATGCTTCCTGAACCTTTGCTAAATGTCAAGACCTGTATTGTCCATTGAGGGCACAGAAAATTAATTACAATGATGTTAAATGCTATGAAAGCATGCAAGGCTGTGTCTTTAAGCGTGGGCATGAACGGATTTGAGGGCATGGGGTGAGTGGGGTCTGGGACAGCATATGGGAAGGGTACAATGGGGTGGTCAGTGCGCTGTTCCTCACTGGCCCTCTCTCTTCCCCAGCTCAAGCCAATTCTGGCTGACATTGAGTATCTGCAAGACCAACATCTCCTGCTCACAGTCAAGTCCATGGATGGCTATGAATCCTATGGTGAGCCACAGAGGTGCCGAGGGGTAAAGGAAGGCAGGTAGCACCCTAGAAAGGTTTGGCAGTTTGCTGGTCTATTGAATCTACTTCTTTAGGAGAGTGTGTGGTTGCACTCAAATCCATGATTGGCAGCACAGCCCAGCAGTTCCTGACCTTTCTATCCCACCGTGGAGAGGAGACAGGCAACATCCGTGGATCCATGAAGGTGCGGGTGCCCACGGAGCGCCTGGGCACCCGAGAGCGGCTCTACGGTGGGGGCTCCATTGGGTGGGGTGTGGGCATGAGACCCGGTGGTGTGGACTAGGTGTAGGAGGGGAGGACCGAGGGTGGTAGCATGTTGGAAGCCTGTGATAGTGGGAGGTTCTGTAGCCTTGGCTGAGAGTGGGTCTACCCTGAGGAATAGCTTGGGAAGGAGCTAGATATTTTCAGGCCCCATTAGTATTCCTGGGATACTAGGACCCTAAGTCCTCTCTGAGTCTCCCTTCCCTATGCCCCCCTCCTCCCAGAGTGGATCAGCATTGATAAAGATGAGACAGGAGCAAAGAGCAAAGCTCCTTCTGTGTCCCGAGGCAGCCAGGAACACAGGTGAGCTGGGGCTGTGTTGGATATCATAGGAAGGGGTACCTCGGGGGGACTCCTGGTTAGCCCCATGTCATCTGTTGTGTACCCCTGTCAGATCAGGGAGCCGCAAGCCAGCTTCCACAGAGACCCCCTGCCCACTGTCCAAGTTATTTGAAGAGCCAGAAAAACCACCACCAACTGGCAGGCCCCCAGCCCCACCCAGATCAGCTCCTCGGGAGGAGCCCTTGAACCCCAGGTGAGAGGAAAAACTTGCTATCTCTGTATTCCATCACCTGACTCTCGGGACCATCCTGGTGATGTCTGCTGTTTGTGTGCTCTATCACCGTAGGGCAACCATGGCCAACCAAGTCAAAGGGAGCATAGTCTTTCTGCCTTAAAAAATGGATATAGGCTCACCCTGAGATTTCCCAGGGTTCATCCTATGGGGTTACAAAAGGCCCCACTAGAAATGGGTTCATGGCCAAAATTTTGAGAACTGCTTTTTGTTAGATTCTTGTTTTAGAGATCCCCAGTGCACATTTGTATTAGCAAAGGTTCCGAGAATATGGGCAGGAAAGCAATACAGTTTTCCAAGCTTAACAGGCCAGGAAACTTTTTTCTCATAGCAGTGTCTTGGGGCTGTACATCTTGGTATATACCTGTATCCCAGCACCCAGGAGACTAAGGCAGGAAGATTTGAAAGCTTGAGGTTAGCCTAGGCTAAATAGGCCCTGTCTCAAGGGGAACTAGTATTCTGTGGGTTATACTTTGGGAAAGCCAGGTTTGCTTCCTAATGCTATCCAGTTGTCCTTGAGTTGTTTTGTTTGAGACAGGGTCTCCCTGTAGTTCCAGCTGGCCTAAAACATCCTGTGTAGGCTAGGCTGGCCTCTGTCTCACAGAGATCTGGCTGCCTCTGCCTCTAGTGCTGGGATCAAAGGCGTGTGCCACCATGCCCAGGACTCCAGTTGTCCTTTAACTTAAATTAAAAAAAAAAACTCCTCGGTACTGTTTGGTGCTTTTTCACTCTTCAGCTGTTCTGTCACCTGGATTTTTATTCTTGGGCGTAAGTAAAACACCAGCATGGATCAGAGTAAGATTTTCCAGTAGATCAACCTCAGTTGCTTCTAGAGCTTTTAAGAGCTCTGGCTACTCTTATCAGGGGCTCATCATCCATTTCATCTAGGGTTTCAGTCACAAAATCATAAAGAAGCTGAGAATTTGAGCAAGTAAGGAAGCTTAGGGTTATACCTTCAACCCCTCTCCTAGCCTCTGAGATGATGAAATCAAGAATGGAGAAGGCTAAATGATAAACTGAAGGTCATGTGCAAGTCTGGGGTGGGATGGGCTGGAGAGGGAACAGCAGAGGAGGGGCTTGTCAGTTCTCACCCAGTTCCCTCACCTGCCTCCATTGCCTTCATTTTGGTTCTTGACATAGTTTTCCTGCTCCCAAACCAGGTTGAAGCCAGAAGGGGCACCTGAGCTGGAAGGAGTGGCAGCACCCCCACCTAAGAACAGCTTCAATAACCCTGCCTACTATGTCCTGGAAGGGGTCCCGCACCAGCTGCTGCCCCTTGAGCCACCCTCACTTGCCAGGGGCCCCGTCCCACCTGCCACTAAGAACAAAGTGGCCATCACAGTGCCTGCTCCACAGCTTGGGCGTCACCGAACACCTCGTGTGGGAGAAGGAAGCTCATCAGATGAGGACTCTGGGGGAACACTGCCTCCTCCAGATTTCCCACCCCCACCACTGCCAGACTCAGCTATCTATCTGCCCCCTAACTTGGATCCTTTGTCAGTGCCAGTGGTCAGAGGCCGAAGTGGGGGTGAGGCCCGTGGCCCACCTCCTCCCAAGGCCCATCCAAGGCCACCACTACCCCCAGGCACCTCACCTGCTAGCACTTTCCTGGGGGAGGTAGCAAGTGGAGATGACAGATCTTGCTCAGTACTGCAGATGGCCAAGACGCTCAGTGAAGTCGATTATGCTCCTGCTGGGCCTGGATGCTCAGCACTCCTCACTGGCCCCCTGGAATTGCAGCCACCCCGAGGACTGCCCTCAGATTATGGCAGGCCACTCAGCTTCCCTCCACCTCGCATCCGAGAGAGCATCCAGGAAGACCTGGCAGAGGAGGTGTGTGGACCAGGGTTAGCTAGCTCTGTATACCTGGTGGGAGGTGTTCCTTCATTCACTCAACGGTGTTCACACCCCCTCTGCTTGTAGTGGGATGATGGGCTCTTGGGGGACACGGAATCAGCCCCAGCCCTTGCTTCCTTTCCCCTCAGAGCATGGGTAGAATGTGGCTGCCTGCATGTGTTTCTGTGAGGGGCGGCCCGTAGTGCCCTGTCCCCCTAACATGCCATGTTCCCTCAGGCTCCATGCCCGCAGGGCGGGCGGGCCAGCGGGCTGGGAGAGGCGGGCATGGGTGCCTGGCTGCGGGCCATCGGCTTGGAGCGCTATGAGGAGGGCCTGGTGCACAATGGCTGGGACGACCTGGAATTTCTCAGGTGGGGGCGGGGCTGGAGGTGGACTTGGTGGGTGTGTGGCCTCAAGGGTAGGGCTGGGGCCCTTTTTGAACTCCTAGCTCGGCATCTCTTACTCCCGTAGTGACATCACTGAAGAAGACCTGGAGGAGGCTGGGGTGCAGGATCCGGCTCACAAGCGCCTTCTTCTGGACACCCTGCAGCTCAGCAAGTGATAGCAGAGGCTGTGCGAAGCTGCGAAGATCCCAGGGTTGAAAAGTTAGGAGGGTCAGGCAGTGCATCTCTGCCTATTTGGGGTTCAGCGTTCCCCACTACCCAAATGTTAGGGATGCCCTAATTAGGAGGTCCTGCCCGCCCCCTTCAGACCCAGGGCGGTGGAGTAGCCTGCGGTCATTATGATGATCGTTGGTTTCTCTGATATGCACACCTCCCATGGGGGTGGGGGTGGGGTTCAGCTGAGTACATCTGGGGCCCCACTTCTACAGCTATTTCTACTGCCCTTCCTTGAGCCAGAACCTCACTGCAACTCCTACCCCCAGGGATCCGTCCGGAAATGAAGGAAGAGCCCTGGATAGGGCTGGGTTTATTTAAGTTTTTCTGTGTGGGTTTGGGGGAGGGAGGGCACCTTAATATTATTGGGGTGGGGACAGGACCTCGGCCATAAAATGCGTTTGTCTACTTCTGGCTGTTTCCCTAGTGCATAACGCCCTTGGCCCTGGGAGTGCGTGGCAGACTCCCTTAGAGGGGCAGGTGGCCTCGACTGGGGCCACCGCATTGGGGGACAGGGATTTTGTAAGCAGTTTATCCCCATCCTGGGTACTCGGAAGGGTTGCCGGCTTGATATCGTCAATAAATTAAGTTTTATTTGGATTGAACAAAATTACCTTAATAAATTACAAGTTTTTTCAAAGAAAAGGAAAACCGCTTTGTTCCGTTTCCCCGCACAGCCCCTCCCCTCCTCTAGGGGGTCTACCCTAGGGACGGGAGGCCACTCTTAAGGGATGAATAGAGAATTGGTAGGACCCTTCAGGTTGTCGATGGTGCCTCCCACAGCCAGCCTTGGCACCCGCGGGGTCACTGAGAGTGGGCCCGCGGGCGCTCATAGGAGTGAGTGACCCGGCTAGCCGGAAAGGCGGGAGCTGTATGGCTCCTTTTTAGGGACCTTTTATGTCTGGGGCACTGCGTTGAGACTGGTGTAATTTGATCCCGGTTCCTAAGAAAGCCCAACCCGAAAAGCCTCCGGGCCGCCTCGGAGGGGGTCCTGGTGGAAAGACCTCCGCTCTGCGGGGTGCGGGAGGTGAGGACACGGGTGGCCCTGGCTTGCTTGGCGACGCAGGGGAGGGCACACCTAGGGGTGAGATGCTGGGGGGTGGAGACGCGGGGAGCTTCCAGATGGGCAGCCGGGATGGGGAGGGACTGCGGGTCCCGTTGGATGGGGTATCTCGGGGCAGGCTCGGGGCCTCCAGACGCCGGCGGCTAGAAGAGATTGGTCTTCAGGGCGGGACCCGGCTTCCGGTGGAAAGAAGACAGAACTCCAGAGAAGGGCCCGGGTCCGGGCTCCGCCGGCTGCCAGGCCTTGAGTAGCTCCGCCGCGCCCGTGCCGGGCCCGCCG